TTATTTTGACGACATCTTCGTCCACATTAGCGCTGGGTGCAGCCTCAGCGATGTCCAAGTTCACCTTTAACACTTGAATTAGGTGTTTTAAGCTATGCGGGATAACAAGTTGTATGCGAATCTCAAGAAGTGTGTCTTTTGTGCACCGCAGATTCCGGTGCGGAGTTGTTAGGTAAGTAAATTGGGAGCTCGAGCTGATCCAGAGAAGGTGTCGTCAATCTATTCTTGGCCCACACCTAAGAACCCTACGGAGTTGCGCCAGTGGCTCGTCTTGGATAATTACTTGCACAAGTATACAAAGGATTATGCTGGTTCAATCCATCCTTTGTCGTCACTCTTGAAGAAAAACGCCACGTGGTCGTGGCGTCCCGAGCACCAAGAAGTCTTGGAAGCAGTGAAGAAGAGCCTGGCGTCAGCGCCAGTGCTGGTCCTACCAGACGACTCCAAGACATTCCACGTGTATGCGATCCCAGTGATTTCGCAGTCAATCGTGCCCTAATGCAATTTGATGGTGAGGGCTGCGAACGAGTCGTGAGTTATCAGACGCGACAGATGAAACCAGCTGAGAAGAACTATCCGGTTCACGACAAAGAGTTGCTAGCAATGCGCTACGCAATCATCAAGTCCCGCGTACATATGCTTGGTGAAAGTACGTTTGCTTTGTATACCGACCATGCATCGCTGCGCACAGCGATGGAGAGCCCACACCTGTCCTAACAGATGGCACGATGGCTCTCATTCTTCTCCGAGTACAACGTAGTCGTACATTACAGCCACGCAAGACCAATATTCTTGCCGACGCTCTTTCATGGCGTCCCGATTACGACCCTTGGGCTGCGCTGAGTCGTCAGGCGACTGATGACGAGGATGATGACCGATGTGCGATGTGTGTATCGCTGAACCTAACTCGGGTCACACCTGAGCTGTGTTTATTTGATGAGATCGTCGCAGCGTACAAGAGCGACACTGATTATGCGGACATTATCGATTATCTGCATGCTCCCAGTGATGTCGCAATGGGAAATTTATCACAAACCAAGCGCTATCATATTTATCGATATAATTTAGACGGCGATTTGCTTCGGTATAGCATCGACCAATTCGATGCTCCTCGCACCGTGATCGCCAATGACATGGATTTGCGTGCAAGAATCATCCATGAGTATCACGATGCCCCGGCTGGTGTCCACTCAGGCCGCAAAAAGACTTTTGCGGCTGTATCTCGGGACTTTTACTGCCCCACATGTAAAAAGTGGATACGCAACTGAAATCGAACGTGCGAAATCTGCCAGCGTGTAAAACCATCTCTATCGTCGCAGGCTCCCCTGCGATCGTTGCCGATTACAGCCGAGGCCTGGAGATCACTTAATCTTAGGGCTAGAGCCCGATAGTCAAGGTTGTTCGGTATCCTGGTTTTTGTTGACAGACTCAGCAAGATGACACATCTAGTGCATGTTCAAGCTACGATCACCGCGGCAGATATCGCGGTGCACTTCATTGACGCAGTGTTTCATCATGTTCTGCAAAAAAACATTGTTTCGGACTGTGGTCCGCGATTCACATTCGCATTTGGACATCACTGTTCGAGCTCCTCGGGAAAAAACTGCTGATGCCGGCTGCGGCCCATTTGGAAACGTATATGAAAACCGAGCGTGTAAATCGAGTCCTCGGAGATGTTCTTCGAGTTACGCTACGTCATTCACGAGTTGGAGTGCATTTTTACCACTCTCTGGGTTCGCACTCAATAATGCCGTACACGCGTCAACAAAGTTGACGCCATTTTTTTGTAATTCGTCTCGTAACTCTCGTGTTCCTTCTCTCCTTTCCGTGAGGCGATCCACGAAACCTAGTGGCTCCACTCTGGGGGTGCTGAAGGTGATAAACAAGGATCGAGTACAGCTCACGGTACTTCGAGCGCGAATGTAGTAACCCGAACCAAGGAAAAGACTGCTGCTTTGACGTCACGTGAAGTGGCGTCCCCGTTAGCTCGATGGACTGCGCAGACATTGATTGACCCATCTTCGGGTAATCGTTCGCTTACTGCCAACTACGGGCCGATTGAGTCGGTGTGATTTATTAACGACATGGCTGTGTCAGAATCTTTACTCCAACGTCAAACCATCACCCGGTTTGTACGCGACGCGCTTCAGTCTGCAGTGTACCAGCATAAAGAGAACGCTGACAAATATGGCAGAAAGAACATGAGCAAGTTTGAAGAAGGCAATCGTGCTTTAATGTCTACAGAAGGTCTAAGGGATTCAGCGGTCACTAACCTGGGCACGAGTAAACTTGCCACGCTTCATCGTTCCATTCAAGGTTCTGATGGCAGTCGGCGACGCTTATACACTCGACGTCCCCTCGTCATTGCGACTCCACCCGACATTCAATGTCGGGCGGCTATAAAAAACCGTCCTGCTATACTTACGGCTTGGCTCTAATGCCGGCTTCAGGGGTCCGTAAGTCCCTTCCCGTCGTGATTGACGCACCGATGAAATCGGGCGCGGCCGCGATGCCGTCTGCACGCGACCAAGCACCTGGCGCTCCAGAACCCTTATCCGTTCGAGGAGCTCACGGTTCGACTGACGGGTCTCACTCGCAGTATTCTCCGCCTGGGCAGCACGCTCACTGGCAGCCTCATCGTCCAGATGATCATCGGCATCTTTGTTCACGGCCTGATCATCATCGTCCTGGGAAACCAGGACGCCAGCATTACCATCGCGAGGGCCCTCCTCCGCTTGTGGATGTGGAAGGACAGGTGCGCTGGATTGTAGACCGCTTTGTGGGTCACGAGGACCCTCCCCGATCAGTATAACAGTCGAATCATCAGAAGTGCGCGGTTTCATACGCGCGCAGGTACCGAGTACGTTGAGTTGGATTACCTCCCAAGCAAGACCGCGTACCTCTCTCCTTCGTGACGTTCCAGTTGTGGTTCAGTCGTACGAAATCACGGAGTCGAGCTATTCCGATGCGAGCGCGAACGCTCACGTGACAAACTAGAACGGTAAGGAGATCCACGTCGTCGAGAACGAGAACGATGACGCGAACGAGAACGATTCCGTAAACGAGAACGTCGTGGTGAATACATTTCTTCACGATTACGAGGCGAGAATCGCGCAACAGGACGGGCAGGCGAACGTGTCGCTGCCCTGCGCTGATTATTCAGCGGAGATTGACTCCGCTGTCGCGAGTGGTGCTGCCAGCGAGGATCACTACGAATAACTGCGCTTCTCCGTTCGCTCAGACTGCGCTCATACTTCGCTATCCAACTTCGTTAGCGTTAGCTGAGTGGACACTCAGCGATGTGTCGTTGCACTCGTCATGAGATGGACGTGGAGTCGAGTCACAAGATTGGCATCCTTCATTGACATGAACGAAGCAGAGGCGGTCCTCATTCCAAGCATTCTCGCACACCATTTCGCGTAGCGCTCCGATGGCGTGATCGGCGCTAACTTCCTCTCTATTGGCGATCCACAGCCGGAAACTGCTACCATCCTCGAGAATCCAATTCTAACGTTGGACGAACGCGCACCAGTAACGTTGCAGGGATTTGTGTGGTGGAGTGGGATTTGCAAAATTGCTGATGCGATTTCAACTCTCCACTGGCGCCCGAACGACCGACTAACGGAGAGGGTACCCCGATTCCGTGTGTATAGCCTTCCTCACCTTGTTAACCCGTCGGTAGGTCGGGTTGCTCTCTTCTCGGTGGACTTGAGTCGATGTTGATCCTAATTGGGTTAGGGATAGGGGGTTTGGTTATCTTGTGGAAATCTTCACAAGATAAACCGAGTACTTGGTGTGATCTTCCCAATCGATCACAGTTATTCAATAAAACGAAGCTAAAATCTTCTGACCTCTTGAGCAGAACCTTCTGACCACTTGATTTGTCCTGCACTTGCTTCGCCTTGCCCTACGTGCTTTATCTGCGTCCGATTGCAATTGAGTTAAGTTGAGAGTTCTTTCAATCCCTGGCCAAACAATCCAGGGATATGACTTGCGTAGTGTGTAGGCTCCATGTCGTCATCGCTCTTGTTGTTACCAATGTTGACAGGTGGCGGAAGCAGGAAATATTCTAATGACTTCTGATTCATGTATGCTACATCCACAAAAAGCAACTCAATTGTTGGAATAAGTTGAAGAACAGTGGAAGTTGCTGGCAGTTGGCAGTGGATGACAAGGCATGTAAATGGCAGTTAATGTGCTTCATGGTTGACGGTATGAGAGGGGAGTCGTGCTGACGCAGAGTCCCAGGTTGTACTTGCCAAATGGCATACGTCTTAAAGAGATGTATGTTAGGACAGTAGGGCTTGTATTGTATGGTAAAAATGAACGACAGTTCCGAAATTGTATCGTGTGACACAAGTGTAAATTAGAACAATTGCTTCTGGGCTATGGCCAAGAGCTTAAAATTGCTTTGGCCCTTCGTCGAGGTTTTTGAACCAGATGATATTCCATCTTGGATCTAACACCGTTGCAAAGAAGTTTGCATCCTGTTTAAACGCCAGCTTGATATATATTTCTTGAGTTTGCTTAGCATGGCCAGCGCCACCGGCTCCAGTTGCTTTGCATCATATGTGCCGTAGACTTTCACCAAAAACCTGCGTAATGTCACCAATACATTTAACAATTATAAAATAATACGAGCAGGTGTTACACTGGGCGTCAACCCCGATGAATGTGAATTTATCCATGGATATCATATTCACGATGTTGGGTCACATTGCTGTGCCTCATTCAAGTGGGAGGACCATTCAGCCCCCCCGTAAAGTATCATATACTTAACGGACCCGTGTAACTATTGGCCGTTACAACGCAGATGACACAGTATTGGCAGAAGTGGGAATAGCTTCCACTGGCATCATTGGGTGCACGCAGCCCGTCGTGTAGCCGCTTCATTTGTGGCAAAGCGTGTAGCCGAGGAGTTTGGATGCGAACTCGGACAGGAAGTTGGTTACTCGATGCGATTTGAAGATGTCACGAGCCCGGAGACAGTGATCAAGTACATGACTGAAGGTATGCTTCTTCGTGAGGTACTCTCACTTCGCTCGGTGCGACTGCCAAAGAGGGTCAAAATTGCCCTAATGACACTGCTAATGTAGCAGCAGTCACGACACCTTTAGGTGTCACAGAGGAGACACGGCAAGAAATGCCTGTGCTCCTTGACGATAACACTAGTGTTATTAACAACGTCGACCTATGACCGACCTATTGAGGGTTTCATAGGCGAGCTGGATGCTAAAAGCGTGAGTGAAGATCGGCGCTTTGTGGATGAGCGATTAGCCATCACACGTAAAGTCCGTGACGCGATGGCAAGCGCACAGGACAAACAAAAACAATATGCAGACCAACATGATCTCAAAAACAATGAACACTTTAGTGTGGGGGACAAAGTGCTATTAAGTACTGCTACCCTACCTAAACATGCAATTTCTGTACTACCTGAAGGTACTACTAAGCTATTGCGCCGATTCATTGGGCCATTTACGGTAGTCGAGGAGGTTGAAGACCTAAACTATAGGCTCACTCTCCCACCGTCGCTGTCAAAGTACAGCGCACTGATGCTCGACGAAGCTCATGAGCGCACAATCAACACTGATGTGCTATTTGGTCTGCTAAAAGATCTCGTGCGCAAACGGAAGGACCTAAAAATTATTGTGACCTCGGCAACACTGGATGCAGAAAAAATTTCGCGATATTTCTTTGACTGCCCTATCTTTACAATTCCAGGACGTATCTTTCCTGTCGAAATTCTGTATACGAAAGAACCAGAGCTTGACTACTTAGACGCATCGCTTCTTTGCGTGATGCAAATTCATCTGTCCGAACCAGAGGGAGAGTCAAGAAGAAATCGATACAGCGTGCGAAGTGCTGTATCAGCGTATCAAGGCGTTACAGGAACGTGCTTTGGCTCCAGAGCTCATCATTCTTCCAGTGTATGGTGCACTACCTTCGGAAATGCAGTCGCGCATCTTTGAACCAGCGCCGAAGGGCTCCCGTAAATGTGTTGTGGCCACCAACATTGCAGAAGCGTCACTGACAATCGATGGTGTTTATTATGTCGTGGATCCTGGCTTTTGCAAGCAGAATGCCTTCAACTCAAAGATTGGAATGGATTATGTGGTGGTTGTGCCGTGTTCACAGGCTTCGGCTCGTCAACGTGCGGGACGCGCTGGACGCACAGGCCCAGGTAAATGCTATCGACTGTACATGGAGAATACTTACAAGAACGAAATGCTGCCCACAACTGTGCCTGAGATTCAGCGTGCGAATCTTGGATCAGTTGTGCTACAATTGAAGGCAATGAGTATCAACGACCTCATGAGTTTTGACTTCATGGATCCGCCTCCTCAAGATGCTCTTGTCATGGCGCTGAAAAATTTGTATGCTCAGGGTGCTCTAGGTTGCTAACGCAACTAGGAAAGAAGATGGCCGAGTTTCCGGTGGAGCCGAAGAACGCCAAGGTGCTGCTAACGTCCGTGGTGCTTGGCTGCGCAGAGGAAGTGTTGACAATCGTAGCGATGATGTCAGTGGAGTCAGTCTTTTTCCGGCCAAAGGAAAAGCAGGCACAGGCCGACCAGAAGAAGGCGAAGTTCCACCAGCCCGAAGGCGATCACTTGACTTTGCTGGCAGTATATGAGGCTTGGGCGAATTCCAAATTCTCGAGCCCGTGGTGCTACGAAAACTTTATCCAAGCGCAAGCCATCCGCCGTGCGCAAGACGTCCGCAAGCAGTTGCTATCGATCTTGGACCGATACAAAATGGATGTTGTTTCCTGTGGCAAGAATTTTAACAAAGTGCGGCGTGCGATTGTGGCTGGATACTTTGCTAACACAGCAAAAAAAGGCCTACAAGAAGGATACCGCACCATGGTTGAGGGCCAGCCCGTGTATATTCACCCATCGAGTGCGCTGTTCAACAAGAGTCCTGAGTGGGTGCTCTATCATGAGCTTGTGCTCACGACGAAGGAGTATATGCGAAACATCATGACAATAGAACCAAAGTGGCTTGTAGAATTGGCTCCGGCCTTTTTCAAAAAGGGAGATTCGACAAAGCTCTCGAAGCGCAAGCACAATGAGATGATTGAGCCGCTGTATGATCACTTAACCCACCTGATATATGACATCTTAGCAATAAGTTCAGCACAACTCGAAACAGACTACACAACAAGAACAAGCTAGCGTAAGGCAGTAGTAAAAGCAAAAGAAAATGTCAGCATTGCATTCTATCATAAACCTCCTAATTTTTGTCCTCTCCCTTTCGCAACGCAATGGGAGAGCAAGCCATGGACGAGTACGACACCTCATTTGGTGTCTCACCCGTCGTTGGGCTAGTTCTCCGGGCATGCTTGGTCTGCCGCACGACAAAATCCATGAAGAAACCGAAACCCACCTGAATAGGAATGAGCAGTATCAGCATGATGGTCTCCATCATTGTGTTGTAGCGCGGCGCAACACCATTAGCCAGAACACGCAAGATGAAGATCATTGGATCGTTCGTGATGCTGAATTGACCATCGCTCACACCATTGATCAGAGACTGCGCGACCTTGTCCGGATGCACGAGCTCGCTCACACCCTCTATGGTCTTCGTCTCAGGAGGTTTAGTGCGGTTCTCCTCCACATATCCAGGTGTGTCAATATTACCCGGATAGAAGATGCTCACACGAATCCCATATAACTTGAGCTCGTTTCGCAATGATTCGGCCAGTCCACGCAGCGCATACTTGGAAGCAGCGTATTGAGCGTAGCCAATCCACGAGATGAGTCCAAGTCCAGAGCTCACGAGGACAATATGACCATCTTGTCCCCTTTCTTCTGAGCATTCCACCATAGCCGGCAATGCCGCTTTGATGGTGTGCAACGTTCCAAAGTAGTTGACGTCCATACTCTTCTTGAACAGACTCACATCCTGATCCAAAAAGTAGCCAGGGGCAGCAAAACCCGCAGAGCACACCACATGATCCGTAGCACGACCATGAAACTCGTTAGCAGCGTCAACCGCTTTCTGGACGCTGGCAAAGTCCGATACGTCGCATGATTGAATAAATACGTCAGCGTCAGTGTTCTTGCGACTGCCTTCAATCTCCTTTTTGGATTCCTCAAGCTTGTCCAAGCCACGTGCTACAATAGACACCTTGGCTCCCTGACGCGCATACTTTTTGGCTAATGCCAGTCCCAAGCCGGAGCTCCCGCCGGTGATAAACACGTGTTTGCCCTTTACTTTGAAGCCTGGGGCACGGAGCTTTGTCACTATGAACGACTACACTAACAATTAGTATAAACAAGAGAGAGAAGAAAGGGAAGATGACGGCCTTACCAAGACGGAGATGCCTATGACAACGCCAGCGACCACCACACCAACCCACCACTGATCCACAACCATCGTAAAGTGAGCTTCTGGTCTCAAATGAAGTTGTAACAAGGCGAGTGTCACTTATTCTTGATAATTGATTGCGAGTGGTAAAAAGGCGCTCACTTGCGTGCTCCAAAGCTGCCCTCGCACCCCGTGAGTTCCTGACCACTCAATCAGTTGCAGTCTCAACACCTGTCTACTCTATCCAGATAGTGTCGTCAACCGCCTCTCGCACCTTTTCGTGTCCAGGTGCAAATCCCCTTTCAACACGACTTTCTATGGCTGGCGGTATCACCCTATGTGAGAGAAGAACAGACCGTCTATTTCAAACATTAAGGATTGGTAAGATGTCTGGAGTGCTTCTACCAGGACTTCGTCATTCTTCGCCTCGCTGGCTCAATCTGCTGGCTCGAGACGTCGGGCGTCACGGGGGACACTCCGAAAAGGGCACGTGGAATCGGGTATCCAGCCCGAGGTGTAAACAGTGGCTCAATGATCGCAACAAGCGCCGGGCACCACACCGATCAGTCCCGATCGACCGCTGATGCACCTGGACGGGCCGATCAATTCACGTTCTTGGCAAGTTCACTTCGTGGGACCGAGATTCGCGCTCAGCGATCGAATCGGCGTCTTGAAGGCTGACGTAGAATAGCAGGAACTATTGGGGAAAGAGGGAATGATAACCGCGGTCGTCGATCCTCTCCCCCCGGGGGTAACAGGGTTGGTGCTCCCCTTACGGTTCGCACGCTGCGCTTGCCCCCCATAGCGCACGCAGCAGAGGGAAAACCTCCCCCTCTTATCCTGGGCCTCCCGTTGGAGGGACTTCCCGCCCTGGTCGGAGGGGGCCGGTTGACCGGCTCTTTGAAGGTCTTCGTCTCTTGGCCGTTGTTGCTCGAAGGCGCGAATTGGGAAGTGATATCACCCTATGTCTTTCTATCCTTCTTTGCGACTTTTGCGTCTATCCAAAGCTCATCAGCTCGCACAGCGATATATGCTTGGCTGCGTCCACGGCCTTCGTCGTGAGGTCTGCTAGCTGATACTCAGACCGCACGTACTGCGTCACTATGATCTTGTGTCGCGCGTAGTCACGCACCAACTTTAGGCGTACATTGATGTGCTTTGCGTTTGAGACGACGTGTAACGGACCAAACATGCCCTTATGTTACATAAATATGCAGTACTTAACGGGCAGTACTTAAAAACCTGCCACATGGGAGAGACACACCATGTGACACAACCTTGTGTATGTAATTTACAGTAGGTGTATTCACATTGATGGGGATGATGGCTAGCTGGGACTAGGCGTGATGCCATCCAATTAATACATACTTACAAATCATTTATCAGATTTATATTTAGTTAAATTCTACTAAAACTTCCCAATTCGCGCCTTCGAGCAACAACGGCCAAGAGACGAAGACCTTCAAAGAGCCGGTCAACCGGCCCCCTCCGACCAGGGCGGGAAGTCCCTCCAACGGGAGGCCCAGGATAAGAGGGGGAGGTTTTCCCTCTGCTGCGTGCGCTATGGGGGGCAAGCGCAGCGTGCGAACCGTAAGGGGAGCACCAACCCTGTTACCCCCGGGGGAGAGGATCGATGACCGCGGTTATCATTCCCTCTTTCCCCAATAGTTCCTGCTATTCTACGTCAGCCTTCAAGCCGCCGATTCGATCGCCGAGCGCGAATCTCGGTCCCACGAAGTGAACTTGCCAAGAACGTGAATTGATCGGCCCCGTCCAGGTGCATCAGCGGTCGATCGGGACTGATCGGTGTGGTGCCCGGCGCTTGTTGCGATCATTGAGCCACTGTTTACACCTCGGGCTGGATCCCCCCCTTTCCCCCCACCCCCCCGGGGGACCATACACTATTTAAAATAGACGGTCTGTTCTTCTCTCTCTAAATTCTACTAAATATACATCAGTCTTAAACCTTCAACTAAGTACCCACTGCGCTCCGGAGGACTGGCAACAGCTTCCGCGTCGCACTTATTGTAATTTCTTAATACGTCGTACGAGTCGCTTCTGCAACCGGCAACCTCCACCACAACACGCAAGGCCAAGACGTTTCAACCGCTTCCTTATTTGTAAATTTGGTGTGTATGTGCCTAAGGCACGTTGCGACTTAATTTAGCCCACGTCTACACTTAGTAGCATTAGAAGTATTTTTCACGATCCGTCTCTTATAGTGTGCGTGTGAGTGTAAATGGGCCTCAACATCGATTAAGCTCCATTTACCCACCTCTTTAATCATCATCAAGAGGTGGCTGAACATGTGGCTTAGGGACTTGGTGAACAAGCTCACAAGAAGAAACATTTTGCTGCTGGAGGCTGGGTGTAACAGGGTATCTAGTTACACGTAAACAATAAGTAATATACTTAATGTAAGGTCTAAAAGTATCCATGATTACTTTTGACCTGTCACTTGGGTGCGATACACAAATGTGATCCACCCTCGTGAATGCGATATCCATTTATGGATTCACATGGGAAGGGATGACGCTAGTTGAAGCTAGGCATCGCGACGTCTCAGAAGGACGTCAGTTGCGATCTTAAATCTAGATCTAAGCTCGCACGTCAGGATACGCTTCTAAAGAGACGCGTATTCGATCTATATACATATGTAGCCAATCAGTAGTTAAGTTTATATTCAATTATAATTCATTAAATATAGCTCAGTCTAGAATTTGCTAAATCGAAAGCACCACGCACGAGAAGCTGAAGAAGCTTCTGCGTGACGTCGGTGACTTCTTGTTTTAGAAGTTCGTTGCACTCTCGCTTAAGCGAGAGGCAACTGGTGGTACGACTGCTTAAGTAGTCGACCAACCTCCTAACTACCCTCGCACGCAAAGGTAAGACGGTATAACCGCTTCCTCGCTTGTGCTGAAGGTATGTGCTAGTAACACGAGGCAACTTCGTAGAAGTGCTCGTCTACACTTGGTAGCACTAGTAGTCCTTCCCACAACCCGTCTCTCTGAGCGTGCGTGTGGATACGGATGGATCTCATCGTGGATTGGGGTGACTCTCCTCACCTCTCCCAACATCATAGGGAGTTGGCAGAGCATTTGGCTCTGGGACTTGGTAAACAAGCCCTGGTCAACCTCTTGCATTGTCCTCCTAAGCAAGATGTTGCTCAGTTGGAGCAATTTGAGGCGTTTGTGCTCGAACAACGCAGAAACGCGTCCGAGTCAAACAGCCAAGCCACGGCTGAGACAATCAATAAGACTTAGTATGAGCTTAGGCTTGAGCAGGCACGGAATGAGGCGCTCAACAGAACTGTTGAGACGCTCTATGCTCGGCCTACTCAGCCGAGGCTCATTCGGGTGGACCTTCCGAAGTTCGATGGGACTGTCCCTCACACGATTGTTCACTGGCTATTAGCAGTTGAGCAATGTGGAGTGGCGCAGCTCATCGAAGACGCGCCAAAATGGTATCGTATCCCATGTCAAAGTTTCATGGCAAAGCGTCAGAGTGGGCATACTCTGCGCTGATGGCAAATGCTGATGCATTCCATCATGGGCGATCTTTAAAACAAAGATTCGCGCTATGTATCAGCTGCCTAACAACGAAGTGTTGCTTATGCCGCGCTTCTTTGGAGCACGACAGGCGAAACGCTCTCTGCAAGAATTTGTGCAGGAGATGCGGTAGCTGTCGGCGTCCATTAATGGGGAACCGATAACAGAACGTATCAAGGTAGCCACTTTCATGAATGGACTTAGGCACGGCCCATCTCCTCAGGCCCTTTTTAGAAAGGTGCAAGCGACGATGGAAGAGGCCATTGACATTGCCTTAGTTGAGGAGCAATCCTACAACATTGCCTCGGCGACAGCCTATTACAGGCCGTCGGCCGAGAAGTCTGATGCCTCTCCTATGGAGCTAGGCAATGCAGACGTGGTCTGCTACAAGTGCGGCAAGCGCGGCCATATGAAGAGTCGCACAAGCGTCATTTAGACGCTGTGTTGCAGACGCTTAATGACGGCCAATTGTACATTAATTTGCAGCAGTGTGTCATAGGGATCCCCGAGATACCTGTGCTGGGCTGCATTGTTGGTGCACACGGTGTACGAACAGACCCAGAAAAGTTAAAGGCTGTAAAGGAATGGCCAGTCCCACGTAACGTGAAGGATCTGCGCCAATTCCTTGGGCTCGCTAATTACTTGCGTAAGTACAGCAAGAATTATGCGGAGCAGACTAAGTATTGTCTGACCTTTTGAAAAAGGATACGGAATGGACTTGGTCTAAGGAGCAAGAAGATGCTTTCACTTCAGTGAAGCAATCTCACCGGTATTGGCATTGCCAGACGCTGATATGCCCTTTATCGTTATCTGCGATGCATGCAATTTTTCAATCGGCAGCTCGCTCATGCAAAAGGATGACAACGGCATTGAACATGTCATATCGTATCAGTCTCGGCTTTTGAAAGCCTCAAAAATGATTTAATTTGTGTATGACAAGGAGCTACTTTTAATTAAGAATGCCCTTGTAAAGTTTCGGGTGCACCTCTTGGGCACCGAACCTTTTGTGGTTTATACGGATCACGCATCACTGCGGACCTCTATACTTTCACCGCACCTAGGATGGCGAGATGGCTAACATTCTTCTCTGAATTTAATTTCAAAGCTGAATAAAAGCCGGGTAATTCGAATGTCTTGGCTGACGCTTTATCGCGCAGACCAGACTTTGAGGCAAGGCACCGGGAAAGTGTGTCTCGTGCGATAGAACAAGGTAGTCGTCACCCTGGCAGCCATGAAGGCCTACCATGTGACGAGCTCAATGGCCTCCGATATAATGGATTGCTACAGTCAGGACGAACATTGTTGACTGCATCGAATCATTTTGGTAGTGTAACGGGGCTAGAGCTCCGTTACTTACACACACTATAGGTCTTACGAGGAAGCGTGAGGGAGCTCGCAACAACTAGCGTGCTAAGGTAAATTTCAACTCTGATTATTATATTTTTATGTTTTTAAACTAAGAACGAGTAATTACCAAATGCATGGAACCACTCAGCTACAGATCTCTCTCCTATTGGCTGA